TGTGATGTGCACTCAGCCCCTGGGTGACTTGACAATCAATCTTCACCAGCCTGCTGCAAAGGGCTGCCACTGAGCTCTCTCTGTCTTACCAGGGCTTGCTGTATGACTGGAAGTCCTGGGTTGGGGGAATGCATGCTCACCAGAGTGGCAACTTGTAATTACCAGAGAGAAAAAGCAGTCCTTCTCAGAGAGAGCTGACATTTCTCACTCTTGGGAGTCTCTGACCTGCTGCCTTTGGAGGTAGAAGAGAAGGCTTTGCTGCCACCCAAAAGAAAGAATGCAACTCATCCTCCCACTGGGGTACAGGTGGGGCAAAAATTCTCCTTTGAGTCCCCACAGACCCTAGTGCACCTCCAAAAGCAGATGCCTCACTCCTCCGATTCCCTTTTTGTTACGGGGTGTTTTGTATTTCAGCTGTGCCACTTGTTAGCCCTGTGGCCTTGGGCAAGTCATTTAACCACTCTGTGACCCAGATTCCTCATCTGTCAAATGTCAACAATAATCATACCTACCTCATAACGTGATCATTAGGATTAAATAAGATAACATACATAAGGCACTTTGGGCCCAATGCCTGGCACCTAGTAAGCACTAACTCCTAGCAGATAGTGTCACTGTTACTCTGTGGTAAGCATTTTACACACATTTTCACATGCCATTCTCACAATAGCCCTGTAGAGGTAGGAACTATTCCAATCTTCATTTCACAAGTGAGGAAACTGGGCCCAGAGTGGTTAAGTGACTTCCCAAAGAACACACAACTAATAAATTAGTAGAACTGAGACATAAACCCAGGTGTGTCTGATCCAGCATTAAAGCTCTTCATCACTTCACTCTCCCATCCAAGATTGCATTAGTAAACATTAGAATCCAAGTTACCTCTCAACTCCCTCAGCAGATCAAGTGCTGGCCTGGGAGGCAAGGAAGACTAACCTAAGGTGCTCTTCTGGGGAACCTTTTTCTCCCAGACAGCTCTCCCTTGCCCTCTCCTCCCTGACCTCTGCCTTACTCAGGACCCTGGTCACATTCTGTTTTCTGCTGTTATTTCCTTCAGGCCACCATTGAGCCTTTTGCTGCCATTTTTTTTTTTATCTCAATCTGGTACAGAGAGAAGGATGCAAGCTTTGGAACCAGACAACAACGCTTTGAATACCAATGCTACTTACTCACTGAATGGCCTTGGCCATGTCACAGAACCTCTCTGAATCTCAGTTTCCTTGTTTGTAAAATGGTGAGAATTCCTCCCTTGCATTGTTGTGAGTAACTGACTAAATGTACATAGATTGCCTAACACAGTGCCTGGCACATAGTAGGTACTCTCTGCAAGATGCTTTAGCGTTATCATCATCTCCCACAATACCTAGCCCAGTGTCAGGTTATTGTTTGCTTGGTTTAATTCATCGTTGAATCGCCCGTGCTGCTTAGCATGATGCTTGCACAGAGTAGATGCTCCTCTATACGCCTGGTCGAATTGAAAGCTAGAGAGAGCACCACGAAAAATTGCAAGATCATAGGTGAGAGTTCCCCTCCCATAGATGTCTTAAGCAGATCCTTGAATCTCCCATAGCTTCAGTTTCCCTACAGGTCAAATTCAGTGGCAGCTTCCCCTGGAGGGTTCACAGAAATGGGAGTTCTGCAACATCAGAGGTTTCTAATGCAATAAGACGGATAATGAAAAGATTCTTCCTCCACAAGCGTCGAGTGAGTCAGAGCTTTGTGCTTGGCTTTGCCCCAGGGAGTACCGAGAAAATGAAATATCGTCTATATTCTCATAACACCTAAACAAATGGTCAAGTCCATGGGTCAAAAATCAGCCAGAGGGGTTAAGAGGCATCTCCAGCAAAGGGAGGGGAGGAGCAGCAAGGAAAGCACTGTTAGCAAAGGTTGCTGAGTGGGTCCTGCTACGTGGCTGCAGTTAAGGCTAACACCTGTCTCCCTTACAATGAGATGTTTGTTTTGCCTTCACAAAAGACACTGGTAAATGACAACATGTCTGAAATCTGCAAGGATTTTGAACTTGTCGATCTGCTCAATAATTTCTTCCATATCCTGACACCTGAATCAAGACATAAGTTCTCATTTAAGTAACAAACTATTTTCTTTCACAATGAGGATATACCATCTCTGAATCTCAGATTTGCTCTATTTTTTTTCCTCCTGGCCTTTTGCCACCACAGAAAAACGTCTGATAGGCTGAGTTTTCACATCGCAGCTGTGATGATGTAGACACAGCCTCGGTAAATTCAATGGTGTGTTGCTGGCTGTTCAATAGCTGGTGAAATTAATGCCCAGGGAAGTGGGAAATGGGCCACTACAATCAAAATGTGGATTTGGAACTTGCTCTTCATTCTATCCCACCCTTACTCTCCCCTACACCCTGTCTTTGTGCTAGTGCCAGCTACGTGCCAGGCTACCAGTATTCTCTTCCTCCTCCCTCTCCCCTGGTAAGTAAACCAGCTCAAGAGAAGCCCCATTATCCTAGACTTGAAGATACATTGGGAATGGTGGGAACTGAGTTCATGATTCCTCACTCCCACCCCTACTCTGGAAGATGCTTGAGAGAAAGGACAGCAGGTGCCTTCAGGGGCCACTTTATCCAGCAAGAGAAGCTGACCACCTGGAGCTAGAGGATCTCAAAAGATCATCTAAGCCAGGTCCTATCTGCAGACAGACTAGCACAGGAGCCATCCAGGACCAACGACAGCCTCTCCTTTTTATAAAGACCCCTGGCAGAGGGCTGCCAAGTGGTTCCAGTCTCACACCCCACTGTGTAGGTCATGTGTGGCTGCAGCAGCAGAAAGAGCACCATCCTGTAGGCCAGGGAAACAGAGTTTGCTAACCGGCTCTGCACCTGGTCAGCTTGCCAAGTCCGTTTCCCTAGTTCACCACCTCCAACACAGGAAGAGTAAACAGGGTTCTGAGAGCTTCTGAAGATCTAAATCACTACAAACTTGTGAATCTCTTGTTTTCAAATCTTCAAATACAGCTTAGGGCAATTTGATTATAACAGAAAAAAAATCTATTTTCAGGGCTGTCTCTGGCACAGATGTCTTAGCCAGAGGGAAACCCCCTGAAAGTGTATATTTTGCACATTTGTGGAGTCTGTGCATTTTGCTGGGAGAAAATGTAAACTTTCTATAGGTGTGTGACAACCACCTGACCCCCTTCCCAAAAAATAAAAAGAGGTTAAGAACTTACCTCTAGGTTGAGAAGCTTAGGTGTAAGTCACCCTGAGTGACTTCCACCTTCCCCACCCCTGAATATTAAGTTATAATAGGATCAAGAGCAGGAGGCGAGAAGCCCAGGATGCAAGTTTGTGAACTGGAGTAAAAGAAGGTATCGGGCTTTACTTTTCAATCTCCAGCTGCCACTGCCCAGTGCTTTGCCGTATATCTGCTAGCCTACGGCCTCAGGAATCAACTGACTCTCTCTGAACCACTGTTTCTCATCTGTCAATGAAGAATGGTTATGCTTGTCTCAAAGAACTGTGAAGAGTAAGAGAAAATGAGTAAATGCATGGCTATCAGTAAGCGCTCAATTCATGGGAGTCCCTGCCCAGAACCAGTGGCTCAGGCTCCAAAATTTGCTACTCGAAATTTCAAAAGGTAACTCTATCTATAACACTGGTTCTATCCCCTACCTTGCCCCAGCGGGAAAAGTGTGACACAGTAGCTGAGTACCCAACTTTGAGAGAGACCCCACAGTTGAGTTCCGTTCCCAGCAGCTCTCTTCCATGGCTTTGTGGACTTGGGACAACAGCTGAAATTTGCTGTAATTTGGTGTCCCATCCATGAAACAGAAATGATGAAAAGTATATTATTTCTCTCATAAGAGTCATGAGAAACTCCAAAAATAATTTAGCACACTATCTAGGACATAATAAATGTTGGATAAATGTGAACATAAAGTTCTTTGGCTCTCTTTCTTTTCTTTCTTTCTTCTCTCTCTCTCTCTTTCTTTCTTTCTTCCTTTCTTTCTTTCTTTGCCCATACTTTCTCTCCTAAGTATCATTCACCCACCTTTGAGAGTGTGTCCTGTGACAGAATGTCCAACATGGATATCAGATGGAAAGGCAAAAACTCAATTAATAACGAAGATCCTCTAGGTCCCTTCCCCAGGTCTCTGATCTCCCTCACCCCCCGTTCCCCAATAGCCAGCTAGCTTCCTCCCTCATTCCCTTCAGGTTTCCTCAAATACCACTTCAGTGACATCCCAAGCACCCACTTAACATTTCAAATCCACCCCACACACACCTCACTGCATTTCCCTCTCCTTACTTTATTTTCAGCCTAAATCTGTCATCACACTACACACCTCATCATTTGCTTATTTCATTTACTGTTTGTCTTCTGTCAGGAGAATGTACGCTCCTAGAGGGCAGAAGTCCGTCTATTTTGTTCAGTTGCTAAGTCCACAGCGCCTAGTGCCAAGGCAGAGAGTGGAGATTCAGTAGCCATTGGCTGAATAAATGAGTGAATGCCTGCATGAATGAAACGATGGAGAGAAGCCGGATTTTACTGGGGCCAAACAGTTTGCACGGGGCGGGGGAGCGAGATGAAGGATGGGGGCTGGCCTCAGACCCGACTCAAGTCCCTCCCTCCTGCCTAACCCTAGAATTCTCTCTGCCTCTTTTAGATGCCAAACAAGTTGCCTATCCCGTTAAATCCGGGTCCTGACTCCGGGCGCCCCCTATTAGAGGTAAGCAGCCCCCAACCCACCTTTGACACGGAAGAGTGACTAGCGGGGAAAACAACCCCAGCGGGCCGCCTCGGGGAGGGTGACCCGCGATCTCCACGCCTAGGTCCCGCCCTCCCGGCCCCCCCGGCCCCCCCGGCCCCCGCAGAGGGCGCGCCCTGGGAGCGGCGGGGGGCGCGGTCGGCCTCCCGGCTGGCGCGGACTGTGGCGTCGGGGCTGCGGGCGCCTGGGCTGGACCCGCATTGCCCCCTAGTGCCGCGAGGAGTCAGGGCGCCGGGCTCCCCCGCCTGATGTCACCGCCGTGCAGTCAGCCCAGAGGCGGCTCATTGAAAGCAGACCCTCAGCGCTTGCTGGGCGGAGGACGCGCCGCGGTCCGCAGACCCGCGCCAGCCGGGCACCCCGGGCGCCCCCAGCCCTGCCGCCCCCTCCTCCCCGCCGCTCCCCGGCGAGCCCGGCCCGGCGCGCCTGACGTGGACCATTAAACTTGGAGCTGCCGCCTCGTCCCCTCTCTCCTCCTCCTCCCTCTGACAGGCGGGCGAGCGAGCGGCTCGGTGCAGGCAGGAGACGTGCTGCCGGGCTGGGCTGCCCGGGGGAGATGACTCCTCGCCGGGAGGGCGCCTCTGGGAAGAAGACCACGGGGGAAGCAAAGTTTCAGGGCAGCTGAGGAGCCTTCGCCGCAGCGCTTCCGAGCCCAATCATCCCCCTGGCTATGGAGGGCGGACTCTAAGATGAATCCCGACCTGGACACCGGCCACAACACATCAGCACCTGCCCACTGGGGAGAGTTGAAAAATGCCAACTTCACTGGCCCCAACCAGACCTCGAGCAACTCCACACTGCCCCAGCTGGACATCACCAGGGCCATCTCTGTGGGCCTGGTGCTGGGCGCCTTCATCCTCTTTGCCATCGTGGGCAACATCCTAGTCATCTTGTCTGTGGCCTGCAACCGGCACCTGCGGACGCCCACCAACTACTTCATCGTCAACCTGGCCATGGCCGACCTGCTGCTGAGCTTCACCGTCCTGCCCTTCTCGGCGGCCCTGGAGGTGCTGGGCTACTGGGTGCTGGGGCGGATCTTCTGTGACATATGGGCGGCCGTGGATGTCCTGTGCTGCACAGCGTCCATTCTGAGCCTGTGCGCCATCTCCATCGATCGCTACATCGGGGTGCGCTACTCTCTGCAGTACCCCACGCTGGTCACCCGGAGGAAGGCCATCTTGGCGCTGCTCAGTGTCTGGGTCCTGTCCACCGTCATCTCCATCGGGCCTCTCCTTGGGTGGAAGGAGCCGGCGCCCAACGATGACAAGGAGTGCGGGGTCACCGAAGAACCTTTCTACGCCCTCTTCTCCTCCCTGGGCTCCTTCTACATCCCTCTGGCGGTCATTCTGGTCATGTACTGCCGTGTCTATATCGTGGCCAAGAGAACCACCAAGAACCTGGAGGCGGGAGTCATGAAGGAGATGTCCAACTCCAAGGAGCTGACCCTGAGGATCCACTCCAAGAACTTTCACGAGGACACCCTTAGCAGTACCAAGGCCAAGGGCCACAACCCCAGGAGTTCCATAGCTGTCAAACTTTTTAAGTTCTCCAGGGAAAAGAAAGCAGCCAAGACGCTGGGCATTGTGGTCGGTATGTTCATCTTGTGCTGGCTGCCCTTCTTCATCGCTCTGCCACTTGGTAAGTTGGGGACTAGTGGGAGGAGAACTGGGCATTTTTGGACCTTGGGTTTACTGATGAGCTTACTCTAAAGTTTTTTTTGCGAGTTTTGTTTCTTATACAGTCTGTACGTGGTTAGAGATTGAATAATATTGTTTGCTCTGCAAAGGCTTTGCAGATTGGGGAGCTGGCTAAAAACCAACTCAGGTGTTAGTTCTAAGGTACTAGCCTCTAGAAATAGAACCACAGAAGGCAAATCTGGTATGGGGAATGACTCACTCAACAGCCTCAGTTTAATAATTAAAAAGGACACTGGGCTTGAATATCACAGCGGCGTTATTTCAGTAGTAATGATGTGTCGGCTAAGGCAGCGTCACTAATGCAGCATACAAAATAGTTTGTAGTTACTGCAGACGCGGCATTTGGGAAGCAGGGAGGCAGCTCATACGCAGAAAGCCAGCATTCATTCAGCATTTCCAGGGCTAGTGCAGAGGCCACGCTTCTCAAGAGCGTTGCAGAGGCTGCATTCTTCCCCTCCCCTCTTCACTGACAGCTATCACCCAAATGCACTACATCCATTATCCATTAATAAGAGCATTTTACAGCCACACAGCCCCAACCAGCCTTTAAGTTATTGAAAGCTTGAGATAGAAAGAGAAGATGACTAGAGGGTCACACATTTTTAGTTTTCACCCAAAAATATTTCTAACTCTGGTGATTTCTGGAATGCCCAGAATTAAATTACAGCTGTCCCTCACCTAAGCTGACAGACACCAAATCCCAGTGAGACGGAATTCAGTGTGCCCTTCCCCTCTTATGAAAACACGTTTGTCATCTTTTTCTTTGGTGGTCCTACTAACTGAATTGTTCAAAAGGCTACCTAATTTTTTCTAAGGAAGAAGCCAAGGTCTGGTTAGCAGGTAAACCTAAAGGGGGGCATCTGTCACATGCTGTCCACATGGCCTGGGAAACCCTTGTCCTTCCTCTGAGGCACTGATCTGCTTTGATTTTTTTCTCCTATCCCTGGGAGACACTACACAAAATGAATGGAGGGAGGTGATTATGACACAGTCATGTGCCATGATATCAGGAGAGGTAAGAGCTGCTACATGCCACAACCACATACGCCTGCAATCACACTGGGGTCTCAGGTTAGACCCAAATGTAACCAAATCCCTCAAGCAGCTATAAATTCTGAAGACACACTGCTTTCAAGAGAAAAAGGCAAATGGAAAGGAAGCTTCCATTTAAAAAGAAAGTTTCCATTTAAAAAGAAAGAAAAAAAGAAAAAGATTTTCAAAAGCCGTCTAACCTATTCTCCATGTCGTCTTTTCTAAGGCAGGCTTGCAGGCTGATGCCTTTCAGAAATATTTTCAGTGGTTAGTGTTGAGTGGAAAAGGGTTGAAAAAGTTCTGCTCCCCAGGCTTGATCACATACCATTGCAGGGAAGCTTGCTTTTCTTTCCCAAGGTCTCAGGTCCTTTTGCAGGCTTGTTGGGTTTTCAGTGAATGACAGTTCACACTGCATTGGGCCATTACAAAAATCATGGTTGTACATGCAGCTGATGGAGGTTACTTGGTGTCTTATTAGCCTCATGACCTTGGGCAAATGACCACTCCTGTATAAGCCTCAGTTTCTTCATCTACAAAATGGAGCTAATTCATATTTGCTCCATGGAGTTTGTACTAATGTATAGGAAGGACTTAGCACAGTATCTGTTATATAGCAGATGCTCAATGAAAGTTAGCTATGAGCAGTACAAACCAAACCCCAACCTCCCAGTGGGTATAACTGTGTCTTTTCCTCTTCTCTACTCATTTGCCAATCCCACACCTGTTACTAAAGTCTCAGAAGAGAACTGAGTCTTTCTCCTTTCTTCCTTCTGCCCCTGCCCTCCAGCCTGCAGAGGCTGTGACCAGAGCCTGCTCAGGAAAAAGGCCCCAGCAGGATGCAGGAATGGTTCAAAGGTGCAGGCTTTGTCTTTAGGGGCAGGGGAAATAGCTCCAAACAGGTAAAGAGGCTTCCAGCATACTGAAATGGGAAGAACACGGCTCTGGTGATCAAGAGCAACAGAGTTTCCATTTGAGTCTTGCCATCAATTAGCTCTGTGACCCTAGGATTATTACTTTGCTTCTCTAGGCTTCAGGTCTCACATCTTGAGAACAAGGGGGTTGAATTAGATGAAGGGATCTCAAACTTTGATAAGTATAAGAATCACCCATGAAACGTGATAAACAATGGTAGCTGCCTGGGCTGAACCCCCACCGAATGGGATTTAGTAAGTCAGAAAGATCCCAGGAATCTGCAGGTGTATTTAGCCCACCAGGTGATTCTAAAGAGGATATTCACAGACCAGGCTTTGAAAATCACTGGCCAGAAATCCTCAGTTACCTTCAGGCTCCAGCACCCTGGAAGCCAGGGTTTAAAATGCTGCAAATCTCAGACCTTGCCCAGCCACATGGTAGTGTGCGATGATGTGGCTTTTCTCTGGGCCTTGCTCTTCAAGTCATCAAACCCACTCTCAGTTTCTTCTCACTCACATTACTCCCACCATCTCTCTCCTTTCTGTCTGTGCCTTTCTGAGACCTTGTCCCCCTAGCATCTCAGGTCCTGAGCTTCTACACAACAGAAAGTGAGAGGGTTTTGCCACCCTGATGCTATCTTGTTTCTCTTCTCCTTGCAATGAAAACTTTCTATCATGTGACGATCACCCAGAGATCTTCCAACGATTTGTCCCTGAGCAGACCCCATCAACATCCTTCTTCCCTGAAAACCCAATGGATAAGTTGAGGAATGTGGACTCCAGGACTTAGGTTTGGGATGGGCTTCAAAAAGTACTCAAGAGCTTCAAACAAAGAAAGTACTTAATTACTGTTTTCTTAATGATTCAGGAAGAGTGTTCCAGCAAAATAGAGGTGTGGGTTTCTACTTCCTCTGAGTTGAAATAACACCCAAGCAAAAGTAGCATGATATAGAACAATAACTTCTTTGGAATCTGAAGAAGGTTCCAAATTCTAAATTTTCCATCAAAACGTTTTCACTCCTAAGGGGAGGACGCACATGTGGGGGAGGACTGTGTTTGTCAAAGGGAGAAGTGCAGGTAGGAGCAACTTCCAATTGGTGGTAGACTTTCAGGTGCCAGGATGGCACGAGATTTCGTAGCTCTGTTTGTCTTCTCCGTGGGAGAGTAGGGTTGGGATCTCTCCTGGGAAGGAGGGAAAATAGCTGTGCCCCCTACAGGATCCTGTTCAGGGGCCCCATTTGTTTTCCTTCATCTTTTATTTTTATTTCTGGGAGCAGGGTTGGGCTGCCTGCAGAGTGAGACCTCTTGTCTCCTCCTGTGCTCTCCCCACCTGGACACCCTCCCCCACGTCCTCCCCACCCATTCCCTGTGGCCTCAGACCAAGTTGGACCAGGGACCAGTGCTCACTTACTCAGGAGCAAGGATGGACTCCACCATACAAGGACCTCTTTATTTGGTGCTAGAATCAGGCCAGGAAGGGACAGGAAATAATTGGAATACAATATAGCAGTATTTCTACTCCATAAGCCATTTGCAAGATGTCAGAGAATCTTCAGATGCCCAGCATTAGAACAAAGACTAACTTCCAGCCCACCTGGGGAAGGCCTGGTCAGGGTCTCAAGAAGTGGCTGAGCTATTGAGGATGTACGTTGTGGCAGTGAAGGAAAGAGGGGGATGCAGGGCCGGTGGCAGGAAGGGCTCAGCAGCCAACCAGTGGCTGGGCTTAGTGAGTTGTTTAGAAAACACTGGAACCTTGCCTTGCTCCAAATCTTGCGTCTGTCTTTTAAAATGCTGGGAGGCACCAGGAAGCCATTATTGAACTAACTGCTTTCCCCTCCAAATAAATGAAGGTCAATTTCAAAGAAACAGTTGTGCTCTCTATAGTACTGGAACAAAATAGGAATTCCTCTCTCCATTGATTTGGTCCTTCATTCAAATGGGGGCTGACGAATTTCCACCTTCCACAAGCACAAGGGTCTCAGAGGTGACTCAAGACAGAGCCACCCCCACAAATACACATTAATCTTCCAGCTCTGCGATTTCAAAACACAGGGATTTGAGTTGCCCACAGGAAATCAATTGGTTTGAGTACTTGGCAAGGGGGAAGATTTTACACACAGGATTCCTTCCTAGAAGAGGGAAAGCCAACTGAAGTAAAACACATTTGATCATGTATTAAATCACTAATAAAGACTTCCTAAAGCATCTACTACATGCCAGGCACTGTACCAGATACTGAGTTACCAAGCCAAAAACAAACCTGGCCCCTACCTGAAGGAGGCTTACAGCCTAGTGAGACTGTCATTAGTATTAGATACGTACCATGGGTACCAGACATTGTGCTAGGCCTCCTATAGACATTAGCTCATTAATCCTCCAGCCACCCCAACAGGCAAAAGTAACTGCTCAGAGAGGTTTGACTTCTTGTCCAAGGTCGCACATCAAGTAAGCGATAGAGCCAAAAGATGAATCCAGGTCTGTCAGAACACGCCCATACCTGTTCCACCACACCAAGGAAATGTCTGGCCTTTGTGCCATTTGGTAGCAACCTGTTTTCATAGCAAATGTTCTCCAGGACACCCAGAACCACGCTGTCAAGAACTAGTAACGATGCTTCTGTTGCAAAAGCTGCCTTTCTTCCACTGCCTGCTCACTCCTAAGAAAATAACCAACCCATGACATGTCAGGGCAGGTCATCCATGTTCTAGTTCAGGGCTGGATGTTTTCCTGTACTGTGTATGACAACGGTCTCTCAGGATTGGGCATCTTGTGTCACCCCAGCCAGAAAGAAAAAGGAAACTTGCTCTTCTAGGAACGCGAGTTCACATCTTTAATCATTCTCTATTCACTGAACAAATATGTATCTATTAAGTGGCTACTATGTCCAGGCATTATACTGAAGATATAATGGTGAGCAAAATTGTTATATTTCATAGAATTTGGCTCTAGTAGGGAGCACAGATATATTGAAACACAAACAAGCATGAACAGAAATTGC